GTGGGGGGGGGTGGGGGGGGGGGTTGGGGGGCCGGGGGGGGGTTTGGGGTACTTGGAGGGAATGTGAAGGTCATAAATGAGGACATCATGGTGGAGTCGGGTGAGTGTGGGGGAAATGTGGGGGGGTTTTGGGGGAATTTGTGGGCTTTTGGTGGTCCTAGAGAAGTTTTAGCAGGTCTTAGAGGGGTTTGGGGGGAGATTGGGGGGTGTCAGAGGGGTTTGGGGTCCCTGGAGGGACATGCAGGTGATGGACAAGGACATCACAGTGGAGTCGGTTGAATTTGGGGGGGTCTGGGGGTCCTGGAGGAGTTTTACAGGGTCTTAGAGGGGTTTGGGAGGAGATTTGGGGGTCTCAGAGAGGTTTGGGGTCCCTGGAGGGGATGTGAGGGTCATGGATGAGGATATCATGGTGGGGTCAGTTGAATTTTGGGGGTTTTGGGGGAAATTTGGGGGGTTTTGGTGTTCCTAGAGGAGTTTTAGGGGGTCTTAGAGGGGTTCAGGGGAGGTTTGGGGGTCTCAGAGGGGTTTGGGGTCCCTGGAGGGGACATGTGTGTCATGGATGAGGACATCATGGTGGAGTCGGGTGAGTTTTGGGGAGATTTGGGGGAAATTTGGGGTTCCTGGAGAAGTTTTAGAGGTTCTTAGAGGGGTTTGGGGTGAAGTTTGGCAGTTTGGGGTCCTTGGAGGGGGTTTGGGGTGAGGTTTGGGGGTCCCAGTGGGGTTTAGGGTCTCTGGAGGGGATGCACGGGTCGTGGACAGGGACATCGTAGTCGAGTCAGGTGAATTTTGGGGGAAATTTGGGGGGAATTTGGTGCCCCTGGAGGAGTCTGGGATGAGGTTTGGGGGTTTGGGATGAGGTTTGGGAGGTCCTGGGGGAGTTTTTGGGTTTCTCAGGGGAGGTTTGAGGAGTTTTGGGTAGTATTTGGGACATAAATTTTGGGATTTAGTTGATGCCAGAGCAAACTTAGAGATCCCGGGTGGTATTTGGGACATAAATTTAGGATATTTCACCACTCCTTTAATATTCCAAGTGCTTTTTGGGCTTATCACACCCCAAATTCCTCCATTTTCACCGCAATTTTTTATTATTTTTTACTCTGCTATAAACTTTTTAACATTTTACCTTTTTGGGGTTTTTTTTAGGTGACGATTCGTGGGATTTGATCACCTGCTACTGCCAAAAACCCTTCGCGGGCCGGCCCATGATCGAGTGCAGCCAGTGCGGCACCTGGATCCACCTGTCCTGCGCCAAGGTGAAGAAAAACAACGTCCCCGACGTCTTCTATTGCCAAAAATGCCGCGAGGGACCCCGCAGGGCCGCCCCCGCCACCCCCCGAGCCACCGGGGACTCCTAAACCCCCTCCCCAAAAAGGGTTTGGGGGGTCCCCGGCCTCGCTTCTGGCAGGGTTTGTGCTCAAAATCGGAAATTTTGGGGTTGTGACCTTCCCTGGAATTGTGGGCTGTGGAGGTTCCTCCTGAAAATTAAGTTTTGGGCGGGTTGGGTCGTTCTCAAAATGTGGAATTTTGGGGGTTGGACGCCGGCCCGGAACGGTGAGGTTTGGGGTTTGTGACGTTCCCGCGAAATTTGAGATTTTGGGGGTTGCGGCTCTCCCTGGAATTGTGAGGTTTGGGGGTTGGAAAGTGCCCAAAATTGGAGATTTTGAGGGTCGGAACCTCCCCCCTCTCCAAATTGTGAGGGTTTGGGGTTCGTAAAAGCCCTGAAATGGTGAGATTTTGGGTCCAGCTCCCTCAAAAATGGGGAGGTTTGGGGGGTCTTTTACCCACCCCCCCCCCCATAAGTTGAGGGGTTTTGGGGTTCCGGTTCAAATTTGGGGGTGGTTTGGGGTCCCTCATCTGCAGGACAGGAGGGTTTTGGGGTACAAGATTTGGGGGGCTCTTACCCCAAATCATGAGTTATTTTGGGTCTCCCACCCCCAAGATGGGAAGATTTTGGGGGGGGTGGTCCCTCACCCCAAATTAAGATTGGGGGAGCCCCCCTTAGGGGAGGTCTGGGGGGTCCCCTACCCCAAATTATGAGATTTTGGGGTCCCCCCATCCCCACAAAAGGAGGGTTTGGGGGTCCTTTACCCCAGACAAAAAGGTTTTGAGAAGTCCCCCTAAAATAGGGGGATTTTGGGGTGTTCTTTGCCCGAGATCATGAGCTTTTGGGGTGTCCCACCCCCCAGAAAAGGAGAATTTGGGGACCCCACACCCCCAAGTAAGATTTGGGGAAAACTCCCCTAAAAGAGAGGGTTTTGGGGTCCCCTACCCCAAAATAAGAGTGTTTTGGGGTTCTCTGCCCCATGTTATGAGGTTTTGGGCGCTCAGTTAAAATTTGGGGGGACCCCACTAAGTTCAAGGGGTTTGGGGGGCTTTTAACCCCCCCAGGGCATGAAGTTTGGGGGTCCTGTACCCCAATTCATGAGGTTTTGGGGTGTCTCAACCCCTGTACAAGATTTTGGGGGTTTCCCACCCCTGAAGTGGGGAGGGGGATTTGAGGGTCCCTCCCCCCAAAACTCTGAGGTTTTGGAAACAAGTTTTTTCATGTGTGTTATTTTTCTAAACGTTCCCTGCACCCCACTTTTTTGGGGGGCCCTCCCCCCAAACTCTGAGGTTTTGGAAACAAGTTTTTTCATGTGTGTTATTTTTCTAAACGTTCCCTGCACCCCACTTTTTTGGGGGGCCCTCCCCCAAGTTTTTGGGGGTGTTTAGAGCACCATTTTGCAGGGGGGGCACCCCCAAAACAGGAAGGGACTGCCCCAGTTTGGGGGGAGTTTGAGGGGGGATTTGGGGGATTCCCCCCTAAAACTCCCTCAGTTGGAATTTGGGGGCCCCCCTCCCCACCTTTTATTCCCTTCCCCTCTTTGTTTGAAGGATAATATTTTGGATTTTGGGGGGGCTGCAGCCCTTCCAGTTGTAAATAAACAGCGCCGTTGCTTCGTACCTGGGCGGGGTTCGTGTCTGTCTGTCCGTCTGCTGCACCCCAAAAGGAGCCCCCGAAATGGAGGGGAAATGGGGAGGGGAAAATGGTGGAAAACGTGAGGGGGGAAAAGGGTGGGAAACGTGAGCGGAAAAAGGACAGGAAAAATGGGAGGGGAAAATGGTGGAAAACGTGAGGGAAGAAAAGGGCGGGAAAACGTGAGGGGAAAAAGGGCGGGAAAATGTGAGGGGACAAAATGCTGGAAAACATGAAGGGGGAAAAGGTGGGAAACATAAGGGGAGAAAATGCTGGAAAAAGGGGTGAAAAGGGTGGGAAATGTGAGGGGGAAAAAGGGCTGGAAAACATGAGGGGAGAAAAGGGCGGGAAATGTGAGGGAAGAGTGTAGGAAACGTGAGGGAAGAAAAGGGCAGGAAAATATGAAGGGAAAAAAAGGCAGGAAAATGTGAGGGGAGAAAATGGAGAGAAACATGAGGGGAGAAAAGGGCGGGAAAGCGTGAGGGAGAAAAAGGGCGGGAAAAGTGAGGGGGGAAAATGGAGGAAACCGTGAGGGGGAAAATGGAGGAAAATGTGAGGTGAGAAAAGGGTGGGAAACATGAGGGGAAAGAGGTGGAACTGTGAAGGATAAAAGGGGAGAAATATGAGGGGGAAATGGTGGGAAATAGCGGAGGAAAGGGTGGAGACATGAAGAAGAAAAGGGGAGAAATATGAGGGGAAAATGGTGGGAATTGTGAGGGGGAAAAGGTGGGAAATGTGAGGGGAAAAGGGTGAGAAATGTGAGAGGAAACAGAGCGAAAAATGTGAGGGATAAGGGGTAGGAAATGTGAAGGAAAAGATTGGGAAAGGTGAGGGGAAAAGGGTGGAGAGGTGAAAAGAAAATGCTGGGAAATGTGAGGGGGAAAAGTGGAAATGTGAGGGGACGAGATGGCAGAAACATGAGGGGAAAATGCCTGGAGGGGATTTTGGGGGATCCTGAGGGGGATTTTGGGGATCCTGGAGGGGATTTTGGGGTTATTTGGGGGTCCTGGTGGGGATTTTGTGGGAATTTTGGGGGTCCTGGAGAGGAATTTGGGGGTCCTGGAGGAAATTTGGGGGATCCTGGGCCCATTTTTGGGGTCCTCAACGAGTTTGTGGGAGATTTGGGGGGGTCCTGAGGGGGATTTTGGGGGTCCTGGAGGAGTTTTGGGGGTCCTAGAAACATTTTAGGGATGGTTTTGGTGTTCTCTGATATTTTTTGGGGTGGTTCTCTGATGATTTTTGGGGTTCTTCCCACTTCCCCAGGCCGCGCTCCCCAAAACTGGGACCACCACGGCCACAGCAGCCCCCCAAAAAGCCCAGGGCGGCCTCGAGGTGAGTGGGGGGTCCTGGGGGGATTTTGGGGGGAATTCGGGGGATTTTGGGTGAAATCTGGGGGATTTGGGGGAAAATCTGGAGGATTTGGGGGAAAATCTGGGGGGTGGTCCTGGAGGGATTTTGGGGGTTCCTGGGAGGGTTTTGGGGGGAATTTGAAGGATTAGGGGGGATTTTGGGGTCCAGAAAAAAATTTGGGGGGGATTTTGGGGGTCCAGGAAGAATTTTTGGGGGGTCCTGGTGGGATTTGAGGTTTTTGGGGTGCCCCTAAAGTTCTTTTTCCCCCCAGGAATCCAAGTCCTTCGCCGTGGGGATGTTTTTGGGGCGCCTGAACGCCGAGCAGGTGTTCCCCTACCCCTCAGGTGAGGGCACCCCCAAAACTGGGGGAAAATTTAGGGAAAATTTGGGGAAATTTTGGGGAAAATTTGGGGAAATTTTGAGGGAATTTTGGTTAAAATCTGGGGAAATTTAGAGAAGATTTAGGGGAATTTCAAGGGAATTTTAGGGGGAATTTTGGGTAAAATTTGGAGAAATTTAGAGGAGATTTAGGGGAATTTTGAGGGAATTTTAAGGGAAATTTTAGGGAATTTGGGGTGAAATCTAGGGAAATTTAGAGGAGGTTTAGGGGAATTTTGGGGAAATTTTGGGTAAAGTCTGGAAATTTAGAGGACATTTAGGAGAATTTTAAGGGAAATTTTGAGGGAATTTTGGCTAAAATCTGGGGAAATTTTGAGGGATTTTGGGGTAAAATCTGGGGATATTTAGGGGAATTTTTGGTAAAATTTGGGGAAATTTTGAGGGAATTTTAGGGGAAATGTTAGGGATTTTTGGGTAAAATCTGGGGAAATCTAGAAGAGATTTAGGGGAATTTTGAGGGAATTTTAGGGGGAATTTTGGGTAAAATTCGGAGGAATTTAGAGGAGATTTAGAGGAATTTTAAGTGAAATTTTAGAGAATTTTGGGTAAAATCTGGGAAAATTTAGAGGACATTTAGGGGAATTTTAAGGGAACTTTTGAGGGAATTTTGGTTAAAATCTGGGAAAATTTAGGGGAATTTTGGGTAAAATTCTGAGGGAAATTTTGAGGGATTTTGGGGTAAAATTCAGAGAAATTTAGAGGAGAATTGAGGGAATTTTAGGGGAAATTTTAGGGCATTTTGGGTAAAATTTGGAGAAATTTAGAGAAGATTTTGGGGAATTTTGGGTAAAATTTGGGGAAATTTAGATGAGATTTAGGGGAATTTTGAGGGATTTTAGGGGAATTTGGGGTAAAATGTAGAGGAGATTTAGGGGAATTTTGAGGGAACTTTAAGGGAAATTTTAGGGAATTTTGGGTGAAATCTGGGGAAATTTAGAGGAGATTTAGGGAAATTTTAGGGGGAATTTGGGGTGAAATTTGAGGAGATTTAGGGAAATTTGGTGTAAAGTCTGTGGAAATTTAGAGGGGATTTGGGGATGATTTTGGGGGAGTTCTGGAGAAAATTTAGGGAGGGTTTTGGGGGGAATATTTTAGAAAATTCTGAGGGAAATTTTGGGGGAATTTTAAAGGGAAATCTTGGGACAATTTGGGATAAATTTGGGGGCATTTTGGTGTAATTTTGGGGGAATTTTACGTGGATTTTTAAGATGGTTTTGATACAATTTTGGAGAGATTTTTGGAGTAGTTTTGGGAAAAATTTGGGATCATTTTAGCCTGGTTTTGGGATCGTTTTGATGGAATTTTGTGGGTAACTTGAATGTAATTTTTCAGAATTTTGGGATAGTTTTGGGTTAATTTCAGGAATAAGTTTGGGATAATTTCAGGGCGACGTCAGGACAATTTTTGGGGAGATTTTTGGGATCTCCTCAAATCCACCCCAAATCCTCCCTAAATTCCCCAAAATCCCCTCAGGACCCCCCAAAATTCCCTTGGGCCCCCCAAATCCCCTCCCAGTAACTCCCAGTAAGTCCCAGTAACTCCCAGTGCTCCCAGTTCTGTCCAAAGTGCCCCAAATCTCCTCAAATCCACCCCAAATCCTCCCTAAATTCCCCAAAATCCCCTCAGGACCCCCCAAAATTCCCTTGGGCCCCCCAAATCCCCTCCCAGTAACTCCCAGTAAGGACATTTTCAGGATATTTTTGGGCTGGTTTTGGGACATTTTCAGTCAGTTCTCACCCCCCTGGAGCCCCAGAGCTCGGCGATGCTGCGCACGGACAATGCCAGGGTAATTTCAGAATAAATTTGTGATAATTTCAGGATAATTTCAGGATATTTTTGTGATATTTTCAGGATAATTTCAGGACATTTTCAGGATAAATTCAGGACAATTTCAGGATAATTTCAGGACATTTTCAGGATAATTTCAGGATATTTTTGTGATATTTTCAGGATAATTTCAGGACATTTTCAGGATAATTTCAGGATATTTTCAGGATAAATTCAGGACATTTTCAGGCTCATTTCAGGACATTTTCAGGATCATTTCAGGACATTTTCAGGATAATTTCAGGATATTTTTGGGATAAATTCAGGATAATTTTGTGGTATTTTCAGGACATTTTCAGGATATTTTTTGTGATATTTTCAGGATATTTTTGGGGTGATTTCAGGACATTTCCAGGATAATTTCAGGATTATTTTGGGGTGATTTCAGGCCATTTTGGGCCGTTTTTACCCCCTTGGAGCCCCAGAGCTCGGCGATGCTGCGCACGGACAATGCCAGGACAATTTCAGAATAAATTTGTGATATTTTCAGGATAATTTCAGGATAATTCCAGGATAATTTCAGGACAATTTCAGGACATTTTCAGGATATTTTTGGGCTGGTTTTGGGACATTTTCAGTCAGTTCTCACCCCCCTGGAGCCCCAGAGCTCGGCGATGCTGCGCACGGACAATGCCAGGGTAATTTCAGAATAATCTGAGGATAATTTCAGGACAATTTCAGGAAAATCTGAGGATAATTTCAGGACAATTTCAGGATAATTTCAGGAAAATCTGAGGATAATTTCAGGATAATTCCAGGAAAATCTGAGGATAATTTCAGGATAATTTCAGGAAAATCTGAGGATAATTTCAGGATAATTTCAGGATAATTTCAGGAAAATCTGAGGATAATTTCAGGACAATTTCAGGAGATAATTTCAGGATAATTTCAGGAAAATCTGAGGATAATTTCAGGATAATTTCAGGACAATTTCAGGACAATTTCAGGAAAATCTGAGGATCATTTCAGGACAATTTCAGGAAAGTCTGAGGATAATTTCAGGACAATTTTGGGTTAATTTTGGGATAGCTTTTCTTTAATTCCCTCTCTTCGCCCAGTCCTGACCGAGGAACAAGAACAAACCCTGCAGGAGCTCGTGGGTCCCCTCAGCCGCTTCTTTGAGGTAAAAAACCCCAAATTCCCCCCACTCCCACCTCCCCCCCATCCAGGGAGAGCCTCTGGAATTCCAGGAATTCTTCCCAAATCCCCAAAATTCCCCAAATACTTCCCAAATTTCGGGGCAGGAAGTGAACAACCCGGCCAAGAACGACGCCCTGGAGAAGGTGGAGGACGAGACCATGAAAGGGTTAAAGGAGCTGGGGACCTTCGGGCTCCAGGTGCCCCCCGAATTTGGGGGGCTGGGGCTCAACAACACCCAGGTGAGGCACCCCCAATTTGGGGAGCCCCCAAATCCCCTCCCAGTAACTCCCAGTAAGTCCCAGTAACTCCCAGTGCTCCCAGTTCTGTCCAAAGTGCCCCAAATCTCCTCAAATCCACCCCAAATCCTCCCTAAATTCCCCAAAATGCCCTCAGGGACCCCCAAAAGTCGCTCAGTAACTCCCAGTGCTCCCAGTTCTGTCCAAAGTGCCCCAAATCTCCTCAAATCCACCCCAAATCCTCCCTAAATTCCCCAAAATGCCCTCAGGACCCCCCAAAATTCCCTTGGGCCCCCCAAATCCCCTCCCAGTAACTCCCAGTCCCCCCCAATCCTCCTAAAATCTCCTCAAATCCCCCTGGGAACCCCCAGTTCCCACCCCAGGGGGTTCCCAGTAACTCCCAGTCCCTCCCAATAACACCCAGTGCCCCCCAAACTTCCCCAAATCCCCTCAAAACTCCCCCAAATCCCCTCAAATCCCCTCAAAACTCTCCTAAATCCCCCTCAAATCCCCCTGGGACCCCCCAGTCTCCAGCCCAGGGGGTTCCCAGTGGCTCCCAGTCC